AACATATTACCTTACAGTTCTGGAGACCAGAGTGTGAAATAGGACTTAATAAGCTAAAAACAACATGTTGACAGAGCTGTGTTCCCATCAGAGGCTCCAGGGGAGAGCAAGTTCCCTTGTCTTTTTCCTGCTGTCTTCTGGAGGCTGCCCACATGCCTTGGCTGGCAGCCCTCTTCTATCTTCAAGTCTTTGTCCCGTCACTCTGACCTGACTCTCCTGTACACTTACAAACCTTCTTGATTGCACTGGGCCCACGCAGACAGTCCAGGATAATCTTATCATTTTAAGGTCAACTGATTAGCAACTATAATTCTGTCTGCAAGCTTAATTACCCTTTGTGAATATAACATATTCACAGCTTCTAGGGATTAGGACATGGACATCTTTGGGAGACCATTATTGTGTCTACCACAGGTACCAAGAATCTGAAGGTGGGAACAGAGACCCTCCCAATAACCCTCTAAGGAGTTTAGGTCTGTGTCCGAGAAGCAGAGGCGGGCAGTGGTGAAGTCAGGCCAGGGAGGCCAGCTGGCAGACTGCAGTGGCGAGGTCTGTGCAAGGACTGACTGTGGGGGAAGGTGTGTTACAGGCCCCAGGCAGGGGTGAGGGGCTGCTGCTGCGCCAGCATCTCAGAAGGACAAGGACAGAGAGCCTCTGTATGAGCCACCACAGCCCTGGCTTCCCAAGTGGGGCCCGTGGACAGCTGAAAGGCCTGGGCCTGGAAGTCCTAAGTGTTTGCAAAGAGGCCTCTCCCCAGCTGTGGGCGCTGCTATCCCCTGTACAACAACTCGGGTGGGGGGCGTTGCCTTGGCAGGTTCCTCAGCCTTACCTGAACTGGGGACCTGGGATTAGGATCCATGCCCTGTCTCAGGAGGCAGAGGGTGGGTGCACAGACAACCAGGCCTTTCCCTCAGGCTCAGGACACTCCCTCTACTCTCCTCAGCCCACCCAAACACACCCCCTCAGGCCCAGAAGTTTGTGCAGTCACTCTCAACACCCAGATTCCAGAGTTTCTGGAAATTCAGCAACCATTGCCCCCACTCCCCAGCTTTGCCTACCACAACTGTGTGAATTAGGCAGAATGTGATGTGTGTGTGTGTCTATCCCTGTGTGTCTGTCCTGAGAATTTGTCTGTCCCCATTTCTGTGTCTGTGTCTGACTGTGTTTTAATATCTCTAATCTCAGATTGTACTTGTTTGTTTTATAATTTAAAAAATAACTTTTTTTCCTTTTCCTGCTGGTGCTTAGACCGTTTCTAACTTTTCACTATTACAAGTGCCCCAGATGAATGCACCTGTGTGGGGGACACAGGAATGAGGATTGTAGGTCTGTCTCCAACTGCATCTGCCTTTTCAAGGGTCATGTCCCAGAGGAATGAGGACCTGGCAAAGCACAATGACCCTTTTCTACTCCTTGGAACAAGTAGTTTCCTTTAAGGAAGGTACTTTTCCGGAAAACATGTTATTTCAAGGCCTCTTGATTCCAGAATCCAGCCCATCCCAAAGAGAAACACCACCCACCCTGGTTTCAGAGCCAAAGAATGTGGAGAAGAGAGGAGGGGGCCTCCCCCCGCTCCTGACAGCTGGCTTTCGAGGATCTCACACTCTCAGACGTCCTCTAAACAAGGCATGATGGGGTTCTCATTTCCTCTGTGCAACCAGGGAAACTGAGGCCCAGCAAGTTAGTGGTAGAGGCAGGGCTACGAGTAGCCATTTCCACCTCACCCAGTGGGGCTGGGGTGGAACAGAGCAGGGTCTCCCTGCCCTTTGCCCCGGGGTGGAGCTGACAGAGAAGCCCAAAGAGGTGAAGGGGAAGCAAGACCCATCGCAGGAGAGGCACAGTCTGTATGTCTGCAAAGGTACAAAGCCTTTGGGAGGCCTCAACAGGGCTGGCTCAGGACTGAGGTCTGGGAACCCAGTTCTAGCCCTCAACTGATGGTTAATCTTGGGGAGAGGCTCCTGGGCTGCTCATTAGAACTACAGATGGCAAAGACCCCTTTCTTTTTCAAAGCCAGAGATGCAGGTGGGGGCAGGTGTCAGCAAGTCTTTTGCTCAGGTGAACCTGGGCAATCAGAACCCCTTCCTTCTAAAGATATCGGATGGGTTCTGCTGAGAGTTTGCTTGGCGTAGACACCATCTACAGAGAACAATGACAGTTTAGCTTTGTTCCTGCAGATTGGGCATTGGCCCGAAGCAGCTCACAGTGTGGTGGCTCGGTTCCTTCGTCTCTAAAATGGAGATTATTGGGCTGCTGTGAGCACTGACGAGGTGATATATAGAAAGGATATCACCTGGAGCACAGCAAGCGTCCAACAGAAACTAGCAATGGTAGCAGAATGAATGGAGGGCATGCTAGATTTGGAAACCGGGAGGACTGGGTTCAAGTGTGGCTCTGCCCCCGATTTCCAGGGTGACCTTGAGCCACTGCTTCCCTCGCTGCCACCAGATAAACACTCCTGGTTTTGCTAGTATCTTGCTGCTGCCACCTCCCTCCCTTGGGGATAGAAGGGAGAGGCCACTCTTTCACAGAGAAGGGCTCCTGCCGGCCTGTTGCTGGGCCCCTCCCTCTCCTTACACAATGGGCAGTACTGGGAAGAGTGGCAGGGGCACCTCGGGCCAACACACACCACAACATACACACACACACTCATGCCACACACACACACACACACACACATACTACAACATACACACACACACTCATGCCCCCCCCACACCACAACGTACACACACACAGTCATACCACACCACAACATACACATGCACTCATGCCACACACACACCACACACACACACACAACATACACACACTCATGCCACACACACACACATACCACAACACACACACACACACTCATACCACACCACAACATACACATGCACTCATGCCACACACACACACACATACCACAACATACACACACACCACAACATACACACACACACACACACACTCATGCCACACACATACACACTATGGGGCTGCTCACTTTGCTCCACTCAAACTGTTCTCACCAAGGTCACTGTCAAACCATTGTTGCAAAATCCAGGGACCTCTTCTCTGTGCTCTCCTCTGCCAGCGCCCCTGCTGCGTTCAGTGCGCCCGCCCTCGCAGACCACTCTCTCCCCCACAGTGTTGCCAGATAAAATGCAGGATCCTCAGTTAAACCTGAATTTCAGATAGGCAATGAATAACGTTTTAGTGTAGATATGTCCCAAATACTGCATGGGACATATTTATACTAAAAGTTGTTTGTTGTCTGTCTGAAATTCCAATTGAACTGGATGCCCTGTATTTTTATTTGCTAAATCTGGCAACCCCGATCCCCCGATTCTCTGCCCCATGCACTCCCACCTTCCTGTCCCTTCTCTAGTGGCTCCTTCCCAGCCCCTCCCTTTGTCCACCTGCTCCAAGTGCTGGCCTTGACCACCTTCTCTGCTCAAACTCCCTGCTCCCAGGGAACAGCTCTTCCCGCCCCCTCGGATCCAAACCGAGCCTCGGCGTTCACTCTTGGGGGACACGGCCTGCAGCAGTTCCCTTTCCTCAGTCTTCAGGGCCTCCCTGTAGCCAGCTCCCCTCCACGCGCATCTGTGAAGGCCCTGCTGGGCTCTGGTGTCCAGAGTGACCAGGACACAGTCCCAGGAGCTCCTGTTGTAACCAAGGTTTTCAGTTAGAACGGATTCCCTGTTTACACTGCTCATTCTTCCAGTACAAATCCATATCCAACCTCTCGTTTTGTTGCTTCCCATCTGCGTCTGGTGCAGAAGTCACAACTTGTGTGCCTAAGGGGGGTTTTCAGGATCGCTGCAGTCAACACCCTTCAAACCACACTCTTTAAATATGGCGTGGCATTTATCCCATGGTCACGGGGAGAACGGATTTTCTACGAATAAGGGAGAACTGATTTCTATGAATAAAAACTGAATATCTCTTTATTTGTGGTGAAAACAAGAGCTTCATTACATGCTCTGAATGTAACACAACATTTTAACTTTTTTGGAATTATGTTACAGTTCATGATTTTTCTATCATTCCTGAGTGAGGGAAGTCACTCACAAGCTCTAAGAATAGAAGCCACCTGTTACAACACAGCAATAAAGTCTCATTCGAAATAGTTTAAAAGTCTTCTTTCTGGCTTTCCTGTTAATAAAACATCTTGTACTTTCTGTGACTCTTATTTTCTGTTTCCTTTTGTGGTTTTGCAAACAAGATTTGGAAAGATCCATAAAAGGATATACATTTTTGATTATAAAATAAATCATGTGTTCCCAAGAAGCAGTTCTCTGGTTTCAGAATTTCAAGGCTGATTTCAAGCAACCGGCCAGGGGCAGACCTCAGGGTTGGGCTCTGTGCAATGTGCAAAAATACCCAATCAGCGGAGCAGATAAGAAGTGATTTCTGAAAATGTCCTCTTTAGGACACTGCTTCCTCTGGTGGCAATGGAACCAGTTTCATTGGCACACTGTTGACAATCAATTCCAGTGGATGTTTCCATGCCCAGTGCCTGAGCAGAGCTGGCCCGCCATGCAATCCAACTCTGTGTCTGTTCACTCACTCCTCAGACTCCTCCTAAGCCCCATCCTGTGGGTAGGGCCCAGCTGAGCTCTCAGGGCTGACCCCCACCTGGTCCCGACCAGGGATCCCCCAGGCTGCAGGGTACAGCAAACCAGTGTGGGTGGAGAGATAAGAAGTTCTCAGGATACAGGAGTGGAAGGACAGGGAGACGGGCCTCGGCAGGGTCAGACGCCAGAGCAGGTTTGCTGGGGGGTGGGCGAGTCTGACCCAAGAGCAGAGCAAATCTTGAGGGACTGTTAGGCCTCACATGAAGGTCCAGAAGTCCCGGGCACTCGGTGCTGGCTGGGCATGGCGACTGGGCCCCGTGAAGAGAGAAGCCTCCTGGCGAAACGTGGCCACTGTGAAGCTATGGCCAGGGCCCCCCTGAGGATTCTGGGTCTTCGAGTCACAGCTGAAGCAGCAGAGGATGCAGGTGATTGCCACAGTGACCACAAACAGCACCCCCACCATCCCAATCACTGCCATTTCCATGGCGTTCCTGTGTGGCAGCTGATCCGCTGAGCAGCCTTGGGTGGTCTCAGAGCCTTAGCTCCCCATCCGAAATAGGGGGCTGTTGGGGATCTCAGGTGCCCTGTGCTCTTCTGACCACTCTCCCTTGGTCGTCTGAGAAGATGCTGGCCTGAGGCCCTGGGTCGCACTCGCCCAAGGCAATCAGATGCCCCCACGTGGCCCTACTGCCTGGATCTCAGATGATCTCCATATAATTTCTAAGCCTCAGACCAGGCCTCCAAGAGCTGAGGTCAACTCCACTGGCAGTTCCCAGAAGAAGTGGCATCCTGGAGCATGTGAGCACAAGACTCGCTGGACACAGTAGGGTGGGGAGGAGGGGGCAGAAGACATTGTTCAGAGGGAGCCTGGCCAGCCCTGACCCACTGGTGACACCTACGTATTTCAAGAGCAAGCAATTGTACACTCAGGCAAAGGACAAAACACTCCCCTCCTGTGGGTCCAGGAGGAGCCCGTCTCCTCCCCTGGAAGGACCTTGGGCCAGTCCTTGAGTCACCCTGTCTGCTGCCTGTGCTGGGAGCAGGGACACAGGTGGGAAGGAGTGCCAGCTCTGGGCAAGGTGGGGGACAGTCACAGGTCACCGCAGTTGCCAGGAGACCTTGGCAGGGGCTGGGGGCAGGAGCACGTTGCATTTGGCCTCCTTTTCTGCATGGGGTTGGGAGAGTACATTTAGATAGGGCAGGGCATGCTCCAGCCCAGGGAATCCCAGCTCCTTCAGTGACATACAAAGCGATCCCTCCACCCCTGAGGTCTCAGGAAAAACCCTCTTCTGTGCCATTCTCACCCAGCCCTCTTTGCTGCCTGCTCAAGCCCACTGCTCACACTCAGGTTCTGTGACGACTTACCCTGGGCTCTCCGAAGGCCAACCCTGGCTGCACATGGCTGCACTTGGCGCTGTGGCCTCCTGGCCAGTTTGCCGCCCCAGGGGCCATGACGCTCCTCCCTGGGGCTGCAGCCTTGGTCCTCCTGGGGAGTTGGCTTCAAGATGTCTGAGCACTTCCTGAATCCCTTCCTCCAATTGTGAGTGAGGACCCAGGACCCGCACAGCTGCCGCCCCTCTTAGTGACAGCACTTACCCCGCCCCCACACACACACCCTCTGCCATTCTCGCCCTGCCCCCTGCCGGGGGGTCAGGAAAATAAGCCAGGCCCAGGCTGCTGAGTCTGTCTGCAAAGAGGGACTCCATCCTGGCCCTCACACCCAACATTTCCTGAGACCCCCACCACTTCCAGAAAGGAGACTGGGTTATTAACCCCGCTTTACCCATATTCTGAGAAAATGGAGTAATGAGAAACAATTCCAGATACCCAGCACAGCCAGGCATTATCTCACATTCCAGGCAACCCTGTGTAGTGACAGTGTCTCCATCTTACAGATGAAGATGCTGATAGACCCAGAGGTTAATGACTTGCCTGTGGCCCATTGCTTATCAGCAGTGGTAACTAGAACACCAGCTGGCCCAGGAGGAACGCCCGCCCTCCACTCAGCTCAGTGCTCTTTCCAGGTACCGCATGACCACAGAGCCATCACTCGATTGATTCTACGGTTTGACTGATCACGGTGTAAAGGCCCAGAAAGGGCAGGGGGCTGGCCCAAGGTCACAAAGCCTGAATTCTTTTCAATTTCTCCAAGGTCCAGGGGAACTTTCTTTACTACCAGCATTAGGAATTGCCTACATACAAAATGGGACAGTCTCTTTACAGATAACATGATGCCCTGTCACGTGCTCACTCTGGACCTTTACTAAGACGATTGTGCGGTCTGGGCTCTGGGCTCCTCCTCCACATGGAACACGCTGTGACAGGCAGCCAGACACTTTGGATTATTTGTAGTAATTGAACAACCAGAAGCAGAAGCAGAGAGAAACAAACATGATGAACCAGTCCGTGGTGCTTGTGGTTTCAACTGAATTACCAACATCGGCTAGGTATTTGGGTGATAGAGGGCACCGGGGCACTGTGTTTCAAGCTTGATTATTTGTTCCTATGACTTCCGTTTGCCTGCTCTTTGTGGGTACGTGTCGCTCTAGGCCACCTGCAGTAGGCATGAGTGGCTCAGCATTTTTAAACTAAAATAAATAGCAGTGCTCAGCCCTGTTATCTTCTGCCTTGTGTGAGTATAGGTTTCCTTTTCCACTTCCAAGATTTGGTGGAAACCTCTTACCCTTCTTTGATTCATCTGTAAAATCAGCGTGGAGATGCTTCAGAAAGGGGCAGGGCTGGAGGTGGGCAGACTGGAAGGCGGTGGCAGGAATCCAAGCTGGGGATGCGGCTGGGCCAGAGCAGAGCGTGGGGAATGGGGAAAATTAACAACACATGGCGACCCATGGCCCACCCCTGAAGTCCAGTGTGGCTGTCAGTGTGAATTTGCCTTCCTCTCCCCATCCCAAGCCCTCACATAGAATCCACTGGGAAACAGACAGGAAAGAGGACGTTCTGTTCCAGTGAGTCATCAGGCCCCTGGCTTTCCGGCCTGTTCTCAAGCCCCTCCCCACTGCCTTGCCTGGCCCAAAGCCCCCCACCCCCTTCCTACCCCCGTTCACAGGCACAGCTGAAGGCCTTAGAATGAGATTTCCTTCCTGGCTGTGGATTCCACCAGCTGTTCCTAGAGCATTTGGGAACATGCTTCAGGGCTTTAGCAAGAGGGAGTCTGGTATCCATCCCATTTTAGGGAAGAAGAAACTGAGACCCAGAGGAGTCAAACAGTCTCCTAAGGCTACCCAGCTCCCCAATACCACATCTTCCAGTTTAAAGAACCCCACCCTATCCCTCCCACCCCCACCACCTCTCACAGGCACCAGCAGAGCAGGCTGGCTGGATACTTAAGGCTTGGATAAGAAACCCTGACCCAGTTACCAAGGAAATACTAAACTCAATGCAACCCATGAGGTGGGGAAACCTATACTGGTACAAGGCAGAAGATAGCAAGGCTGAGCATTTTCCATGGGTCCCAGAGCTCAGTCTGCTTGGACCTGGTCCAGAAAGAATACTAGAGGTAGAGCCCTGGGGGGGCAGTCTAGCCAGCCTCAACCCTCCTCTCAAGGCCCTGGACTGTTCCCCAGAGGGCTAGAGCTCCGCTGGTGCACAGAGGGCCCTCTCTGGGCAGGGCTTCCTGCAAACCCTCCCTGAGAGCTCAGCAGAGCCCACTCACTGCTCCCTCTCCACAGCTAGTGCCTGCGTTCCAGGCGTCAGAGAGGCAGACACAGGCCTGGCAGCTCCCTTCCTCCCACTGTGTTGCAATCAAGAGCCTCTTCACAATAGCCTCTTTATGGTTTTTATTTTCTTGCAGTAATGCACCAACAAATTGACTGTGCGGCCCCATACTGCCTTCTCCAAACCCAGGGGCATTCTTAGAGTCCATCCCAGCTACCTCCTGCCAGAGGCCTGCAGCTGCCTCATGAGGAAGTCAGAAGGTGAGACTTTACATCCGCCTGTGTGCTGGCTCTGTCCAGACGCCCTTGTCACTTCTAGGGCCACTGGGAGTTACAGTCAAATGGTGGGGTGTCCAGCCCCAAAGGACCACCCTGGCTCTCAACCCCCAAACCCTCCAGTGTCCACAGGGCCATGCCAGGTGTTCCTCAGTCCTCCGAATGCACAGTACACTGCAGTATAGTATGCAAATGAGCCCGAGCAGGACCCAGGTCACAGTCCCCTCATTCACTCCAGAGATGCATCCCTCTACACGAAAACATCAGGGTCCACTGGTCCACAGGCATCAGCGGTGGCCTCGGTGGGCCTGGTGGAGGGGGTGGTGGTGGCGGTGGTGATGGGGGCCCACACTGGGCATGTGAGACACATGGCCAGGATGATGGTGGTGGTGAAAGGGTCTTCCATGGCCCCGGCCCCGGCCCCGGCCCCGGAAGAACCAAGGCTGGGCCAAACGGACTCGGTTTCCCCTTGCAGTCGGATGGTTCCTCTCCACATCCTGGGGCTGCCGTCTGTGGAAAAGGCAGGTGGCCAGCAGCAGCAGCAGCAGCAGGATGGCCACAGCGATGCCTGCAATCCAGCCCACGAGGGTCGTGCTCCCCAGGACGCCGTGCATCTGGGAGCTGGACAGGCCCTCTCTGGCCGGCAGCTCCTTGCCGCTTCCTCCCCGTCAGCAGCCTCTGCTCAGCCCTCACAGCCACAGATCACTCAGCTCCTGCGGGCTGGAGAGCAGCCAGGGAATGTGGGCGAAGCCTGTTTGGACTGTTTAGACTGGAGCTGTGGCCAAGGACAAGGCCAGGCAGACATTAACTCCAGAGAGGCTGGCAGGGAGGCCGGGTGGACAGTGGAGATGTCAGGCAGGATTGAGGGAAGAGCCCTGAGTCCAGAGGTAAGAGGTCAGGGCCCGCCCCACCTTGCCACCTGGCCGAGTGAACAGGCTTACCACGACCCGTCTCTGGGCTTTAGTTTCTCTTGTAGAGACAGTATAGTACAGACATTATGAACATGGGCTTTGGAGCCACACAACTCACTACCTCTGTGGCAGTGCACAAGTCACTTAACCTCTCTGTGCCTCAGTTTCCTCATCTGTAAAATGGCTAATCATAGCACCTACTTCATATTGTTTTCTGAGGATTAAAGGAATTAAGATATAAAAAGCGTGTTGCCGTTGATATTACGGCACTGAAGTTTGGACCAGAGTACTTGGGAGACATTGTCATCTGAATGGTTTTGATCACCCATCCTGTAGCCCACAAAGTCCTCCAGGGCTAAAAGTCAGGTTCTGCCAAATGAATTATCCTGAGCTCAGTGGGCTTTGGGAGCTCAGTGAGGCACCACAGGCAGATTTTCATCATCCAGGGAGGTCCTTGGTCCCACTGGGTCTGGAAGGCAAGAGGGTCTGGGTGTCAGCCTGAGGTGAAAGGGAGGCAGGAAGGAGGCACTGAGCTCAGAGAGGACAGCCCCCGGTCCCAGCCCCCTGGTTCCCAGTTCGACGGTCTCAACTGACCATGAATGGCAGGCTCCTTGCTCTGCCCCACCCTCTCTGCCCAGCAGCCATGGATGCCGTTCCTGCCTGGTAGAGAATTCACAGGGCAGGCAGGGTCTGAGCAGTCCCCGACTCTCCTCTTCCTCATAGTCCCTAATCCCTTCTATCCATCATAGACAAGCACTTGCCCCATCCAGCTCACAGGCCTCAGGGACAGGTGCTCACTCTCTCTCGCTGGCAGCCCTTTCTGCTGTGGGCTTGTTGGACTGTTCTTGAAGCTCTTCCTCACACACAGCAGGGTCTCCCACAGCCCCAGCTCTGCATCTGGGTCCCCAGGGGGCCTCCAGGCTCCTCCTGGGCTTGTGCTCATCTCACTGCCACCTGGAGGAATGTTTACAGAAGCAGCAAGGCTGGCTGAGCTCTGGCAGCATCTCCATCCTGTGACCTTGGGCAAACCCCTTCCCCTGACCCAGCCTGTTTCATCCTCTGTAAAAGTCCCAGGGCCAAAGGTGACCTTCAGGGACCCTTCCTTCTCCGACTTCAATCCCAGCTGAGTTCTCTCAGGGAGGCCTCAAACCCTTGTGAAAATCCTCACTGGATGAAAAGGCTAAGCATTCCCTTCAACCAAATTGGGCTCAGGAGACAGCACATCTAATGAATCCTGAGGCTTCTTTGGCTCCCAGCAGAAGCCACTTGAACTTTTAATGATGCTGGAGTAAGAACTCCTCCTGCAGACTTCTGGGGCCCTGGGAGCCCAGCTGCCTTCCCCTAGGGGGAAGGTACGGGAGGAAGTCTGCTGTAAGGGGCTTCTTTGGCTCCCAGCAGAAGCCACTTGAACTTTTAATGATGCTGGAGTAAGAACTCCACCTGCAGACTTCTGGGCCCTGGGAGCCCAGCTGCCTTCCCCTAGGGGGAAGGTACGGGAGGAAGTCTGCTGTAAGGAGGAAGACAAGGGAGTCAAACAGGAAACTTTATTCTTCAGAACTCCAAGGAGATTCCAGCTCCACACCAGCCGCTGGAGTAGGGGCAGGGCCCTCCAACCCATGGACTTGAAAAACTTCAGACAGTGCAAAAGGCCCTTGGAAGCACACAGACCCAGCCTCACTGAGAGACGGGGAAACTGAGGCCAGAGAAGGGAAGGAACTTGCCTAAATTCCCCAGCTTTATGGGCTATTCTGTCAGCAGGTAGGCAAAAGACACTATGCCTGCGTGAGGAGTCTGATCAGAGCAAGAGTCTAAGGTAGCTGGGAACTTCCACAGAGATAACAGGAAGACGATGTGTCGATGTGGAAGAGCCTGCGGGGCAAGTGGCTACGTCTAGGGATTCCCTGCCTCAGAAAAGCCGTCCCATGGCCTTGTGGTTGTATTTCTCCCACAGGGTTGCATCTTCTGCTCCCTCCACAGGCAGCCTTCCTAGCTGAGGTACCGGAGTTCCGGAGCACACGGTTGGCGGGTAAGTCTTTTGAAGCTCATGTCATTTAGTTAATGACCATGCTTTCCAGGGTGCACAGACTCATGCACATGATTGCAGGCGTGTGTACACTTGTAAACTAACACTGCTCTGTGGGCAAACTCATGCACCAATAATTGTGTGCCCACACACTCACATACATATGCCCAAGTACATACGAATTCCAGACAGGTTCACAAACTTGTGCTTGTCTAGCTGCAGGTGGCTCTTGCTCGTCCAGCAATAGCAACCACGTTGTTTTCACTAGTTGGTGGCACCACCTAGAGGTGACACTGTAAATAAACCAGTTCTGTATTCTGAACTGTCCAAAGTTATAGTATCCTGATTTTTGTTTATAGATCGTAATTTGAGCCCATGTATTTAATTCCTCTCCATCCCAAACTCCCACTGAAATGGCCAAAGAATTAAAACTGGGAAGATACTATTTAGTGCTGGAGATCAGTAAAGAGTCACATTACTGGCCCAGAGACTGTAAGGAATTTCTACAAGATATAGTGCAAATGGAACCAGGTTGATTTGGTCCAGTATTGACTAAGGAAGGGCATTCCTGGGAAGCAGTGAAAAGTATGCCCCAGAAGAACCTCCCTGAAGCTCTTCA